AGGTAGAACTGCTGAATTTCTGTCTTATTCAGAATTTATAGACAATCATATCTCACTAAAATAGTCTTTTAGCACCCATGCTGAGTTAAATGGTGTGTAATTATCATAGAACGTGTCTAAACGTAATACATATAATATTGATATAAACACGGTATTATAACTATATCTGCTGTCAATGACATTATACAGGAGTATTATTTGTAGTTGAAGTGTAAATGACAGGATGAAATTAATTTGTCACATATAGCATCTAGTTATTGATTGGCTGGAAAATAGTGATGTACTGGCGCTGATGATATGTACGAATATATCCTGTGAAGGAATATGTTCAATAAACTTAATCATGGTATATAAAAGAAGTACGATGTGCTTGCACAAAAAAATATAGGAGTAGTTATGGTAGAATGAATAATGAATTTATTTACTGTTTAGATGGTTAGTGGCAGAGTATTTTTTGTTCATGAATTTTAAAGGTAGGTGACCTGCCAGGTAAATAATCCTACTTCCTTGTCATTCATACAATAAATCGCTATATTTACCATACATAGATGAATACACGTAAAAATGGCTTTATATAAACGAAATAGTATCATAAACCGAATTGAGTTTATTTTAAGATTTTTCAGGCTATTAGTCCTATACAATAAACCGTGCATGTCATCAAAAAACACTTTTATAGACACGCACCAATTATCTTGATATTTGCAAGAATCGTGTGCATTCCTGGTTTATTTATCTTTTGCTATTTAACAGACATATTGCTTAGCTTCACATCCTACCATAATCCCCAAGATAAAACTCTAGAGCCAGCAGACAAACGAACAGACCATATATCGCAAAAAGAGCGTATGCCAGCTCAATTTCAAGCTTTCTATTCCTTATTTCGTAATTGAATGATATTATAAAGAATGTTATAGGCACAAACACGATCGGAAACACCGTAAACATGGTGCTGTACTCGTTTACTAGGCTTATTGTGCCTTTTGATAGCGTAAAGTATGACAGTAACAAACCAAAATTGAACAAAATGTTGTGTATTGGGCTGGTCAGCGAGCTGGATATGGCTGTTTTCACTAGTCCTTTTCGTGCGGCAACGCTGTTGGTGACAAGATCTGCAAAAGAGTTGCCGAACGCAAGAAATATCAGGGATGACAACTCTTTTGAAAAGTTGAACCTCTCACTCACTGTTTCTATCTGATTTACTATGGCATCAGACGTAAAGAATATCCATAAAATCGCAGTTATCATGCCGTAGCAATTCATAATTGTTTTGTTTCGTACAACGGTGTCCAAAAAGTAAAGAGCAGCGCTCAACAGGAGAAGAATTGGCATGGAAATTAAAAATATCCTCTGTGTGAGATAACCAAGGAGGTAACTGAATATGATAAAATTCATGAACACCGAGCACGAATACAGTACGAAAGGATTACTGTTGCCCTTTTGGTTGATCAGCGAGAGATTAAATAGCATTCTGAGGGGATACAAACACCACTGCAGCACTTTCTTGTACTTGCTGCCAATAGCACTGTGCTCTATAGTTTCTATTTCTTCTGCATCGTTCCTGTTGTTTATCACCGAGTGAACAAGGAAGATAACATATGTGCTCACCATGGCGATCGCAATAAAGATATTCACGGTTTCTCGTATGAGAATGCACGAGAGCAGAAAGTATGACACAAACAGGAACATAATGTTTTTGTAGAACAGGCCGATTTTGATCTCCACGGTCTTAGATTTGAAAAAAATGGTGGATCCTAGGACTACGGTTGTGATGAACAACATGCCGCCAATTGAGCAGTACAACGCACACAGAAGATCCTTCTGCCCGCAAAGAAAGCCTGTAATTAGCTCGGGAAGACCGTTTCCAATATTTAAAAAGATTATGGCAACGAGTTCAGACTGCAATTTTGTCTGTTTGATAGCGTTGTCAAGATACTTCATCAGATACTCGTCCACAAGAAGGTACCCGCTAACTAATATGAACACGTTGAGCATGGACACAGCAGCATAATTGAACGGTACCGGAAGATCGTAGAGCGTGTTGACAATCCCCATCTGAAAGGGTGCGCTTTTTTTTGTTTATTTCCGCTTGTCGTGTGATCAATTCAATGATAAAATGATCCGCATCTATGGTGAACATGAGCACCAGCATTCTGGCAAAAGCAGTGAAAGAAAGCAAAGCGTGAGCGTTTCGTTTTCAATTTACGATGCTAATTTATCACTTCATAAATTACACAACGATTCGTTCATTCAAAGAATCAAACATTTAAATGAGATTAAAGCCATGCACGCATATGATGTATCTCTGTGCAAGAGCTGCACAATTCTTCAAGATTTGCAGCGCACCGCACCGCACCGCATACTCAACAAATAGTGAAGACCGCTTGTAGCAGGTCACCTCGTCTAGAAATTTTGATATTCTTCGACTAATAATCAACGAAATTATTGTTTCATATTTTTAAAACGTTTAAAAAACAAGAACAAAAAGTTCTTATGAGCAGTATAAATATCTCGGATATCGAAGAAAACCTGGGAATCAAGATAATATTTATATTGGCGCTCACGAGTACGTTTCTGGGAATTTATATCACGACGTACGATATATTCTTCAGGCAGAAGGCTGGCGATAATCGGGTGCTTGAGATCATAACCTTTTCGATCGATGATTTCTAAGAATACCACGTGTAACATTTTGGAGTAATCTTCCAAACGGACTCATAGATGATTTTGGTAGAACGTTATCCACACAACAAAGCGTTACTACAAATCAAAATGAAAATATTAAATCGTTTATTGCGGTATGAGTGGTCGTAACTATCATATTCTTTTTAGTGAGTCATGGATTACGGCGCTATCACATTTTATTGAGGATCGCCTTACTTTTACTGGCTAGACACGAAACAAATCCGTTTCAGGCTTCTGCTAACCCGTAGTGTTTGAGTTGATGCCCTTACACAGGCGAATTCTCCTGTAATAAAAGAACACGAACACAAGAGATAAATGCCATCAAATGTATAAAATATTTTTTTTAGATTTTCTTGGTTCAATACCTTCGGATCGCAACTCATTATATTTGAGAAATGTTAAAAGATTCCATACTTTGCATTTCCATCCTCGGATACGTTAATGTATGCAACCAAAACATAAAAATGGTGTATAATAATTAAAAGTTACACCTTTTTGTGCAATTTCCTTCTTTAATTGAAAAGGAAACGTTTATTTAGTGAGCGTAATGATACGGAGCAAAGGTTTTTCTTTCATAAAGAAAATGTAGAGAGTCTAAATTGCTTATCAATGGCTGTAAACAATTTGGTATAGAATTGTATGCCTACACACATTATTGTTACGGCGGAATGAATCGAGCTATGCACTCAAAAGCTATTTTAATCATTCCATGGTAAGCTGTTAGCCAATTTGAGTGATTTAAAGTGAGCGTAACTAATTTTTTACCGAGATGATGAAATAACAGTTTTGAATATTACTTAAGGAAAATGCTTTTTTTGGTGTTGACATGATGAGACAGTAATTTTAACAGCATGGATGAATCATTCCTCACGTGTACAAAATTCATTTAACTTATTCACGAATGCCCAGCTTATTCTCTTTCCACCCATTTAAATTACTTGAATAGTGGCACGAACCTTGCACATAATATGTATTCTCGATTAAAATACAGCAGCACACAACAAGACACACCTGTTACATAGCGTTTATCCTTTATTTATGTCTATAAACGCATCCTCCTCCTCGTCCAAGTTGAGTGCCTGGAGAATATAAGACCACATTGGATCAACACCCGAATCACACTCCAGCTCTTTGTATAGCTCGCTGGGACGCGGAAAGTTCATACTTTTTTTCTGGATCGATCTTGGAACGTTGAGATCTGCAAGTGTTAATATATTGCTGTACTTCTCGTTCTTAAACAGCTCGCAACTATTCGACTTGAAATTATGGTCGCCTTCCTCATCTTTGGACCGCGACGGGCTCTGACTTACTAGCTTTGGCCGTAGAATACTATCCTCGACGCTAAGAACACGTGCATATTTATCAGCTCGCTTTTTATAGTCACTAAACTCCTTCCTAAACGTTGGTATGCACACAATATTATTGGATTTCTGCGATATACTCACTACCATATTAGGTGAATTGAGGATTTGGAGTGTTTTAAGTACACCATGCTTCTCACAGAATTCTGATATCTCTACTCTGTACACATCGTAAAATACCTTCTCCAAATCCTCGATCGGAACAATTGTCTTGGCCGCGAACATGTTTATTATCATTATTTCAAGATGAAGCAATCTTGATTCGTCATCCTTCTTTACATTCTTGTAATGTACCGCCAATCGTTTCTGCGTGAGCTCTGTTGCTGCTTTATCTCTCCTCATAACGAACAAATTTTTGTAGTTGAGTAGCGCAAAGCTGTCATCGCAACACGTAAGAAAACTCGTCAATGTTTTGTGTCCGTGGTATTTTCCCTTTCTGCATGGTCCCTTTTTGCAATCGAACATCGTTATGTGCTTTTCACAGTACAGGAGATTGAGGGACATGACGGGCACAACGACCCCCTCATTAAAACATTCTTTTATTTTATCCTTGAGCTCTGCATAGGTATCTACGCTATCGTGTATTTTGGTATTTTTTGTTTGCCTCCAATTTTTGTTAAATTTACCACTTTTTTTGTCCACGTTGCTTGAAGGAACTATTTTAACACTTTTCCTGTTCGATGGCACATAGTCTTCCTCATCTGATGACATACTAAATGGTTCTTCTTCTCTCATACTTCAAGTGAAGGGCCAATGAACCGAGCTTGATATATATTTTATTCTTATCATGTTAATTGGGTACTGCCATTCGCATATAAGTGCTAGTTACGCCACATGATAAATTGCCAACATTTGGACCAGTGACCTTTTCTGATTATATGACCAAATGCTGAGCAGCAGTTTAACAATAACCTGTTCTTTTGCGCCAATTAGGATGCGAACTGAAAAATGGAATTGCACACTTCAAAAGTCTATACAGCCAGCTAATCGTGCAAATTGTAGGAGTGCGCATGTTTAACATACTCCTAAAAAGCACAGAACACGAATCAGCTGTTGAGAATATTAGAGATGCATACCAAATAAAAAGGTATTACAACCACATTAGCGTGCTCAGATGCACGATAGTGATTTTGAGCAATTTATCGTGTCCTTTTGTGGCGGTAAAATCGGTATTACAGGATAGTTACACTATTTATTACTGATAAATTCCTATTTAAAGTGTTTTTATCCACGTCAGAGTCTATTATCGTGCTTAATCTCTTTGTAACCAGAGTTATTCTGATGGGAAGGCTTTTTACTGTCCAAAGCAAGCATAAGTCACGAAATTAGTTATAGTGTTCTAAAAATATACCGATACAAATACAACGGCATATAAAATATGCCAACTCTGCTTTCAAACTGGCTGAATCTTGCATTTAGTACGAAATTTCCTGCAGGAACATGCCTAATAGTGCATGATACACGAATAAGTTACTGAAACAACGAATAATTAGCCATAAAGACATACTGGTGATAATTCCTGATTGATTTATTAAAGATGCCATATTTTCAACGTTCTACATACTCACGCTATATTTCTAATACACACCATACATCGTTAATTTATATCTGGATTAATGTTGCAATATCGTATGGTTACACTGCTTCCGCACAGAGCACCCGTAATGCTTTATCCATACGATGTTCAAAGTAATTCATCCGGCTCTGGTTCGTCTTTGTAGTACTTAAAGATCCCGATTCGGTTAATTTCCATTTCGTGCAAATCCTGCACGAAGGAATTAAGGCAACATAGGCTTTTCAGAATGCTTATTTCCGGATCCTCTTGATACATAAGAGTGGTTATCACATACCTCCTGACACCATACGCCGCGAAAGGTATACACAGACATCCAAATATTGTGAAGTGGACACCACGAAAAATCCTGCTGTAAAGTATCGTGGATATGACACATGGGCAAAATAGACAAGCTAAGAAGTATCTGGGGGATAATATGGGACAGAAATATGGTAATTCGTAGTCCATTAGATCTAAAGGGATTCACTGTTTCTCTTAAATCACATCCTTTTAAAAAAGGAGGAACTGATTACAGCTCCTATTTTGTGGTTTATCAGGTAGAATAGATAAATTGGATGGTGGTTTTGTGTTATTTGACAGTTAATGTACATTTTTAGCAGGTCGTGGTAATTTGTTACCGGTAATTAAAAACAATATGGGGAATGTAGAAACTGCACAAGGAGTAATATTTGATGTTTGTTGATAATTTACTCGCGTTTAGACAGATCTATTCATACTAAGAAGAACATCTAATAGTTATCACTCACTTGAACGTTTTTATTTGGTATTGACTGTAGGCGTATAACAGCTTTTAGCTGAGTAACAGGCATTAAATGATTGCGAAGCAAATACAAATGTGTTTTTCTTTTAAGGTCTTTCTACCGTTGGTAGGGATCGGTAACGGTCTACCAACCATTCAAATCAGCTAAGTTGCATCGTTTATAGAAAGTCGGCGTCGACCCTTTAGTTCTTGCACTAAAACATTTTATCTGGTAAAGAATACAATAAATGTACAGAAAAGATAGTTTTTTTAATTAAAAAAACTTATTCGGTACACTTCTGTATACAAAACACATCATATGGCAGGTAGTCATGCTTTTGAGCATAAACCCTAGTTTTTTACCGCAATTTATGGTGTTAAAGAATACAAAATTTCTATCGCATTTTAAATACCGCATCGCGGTACCTCTGTCATGCTATGTAAATTTTTTGAAAATTTCTTTGCTTAAAACATTCACATTTCAGAACGAGTTGCATCAAATTAGCATATACGTACTTTAAAAAATTTAATTTTGACAACATCCTGGTGATACCGTCGTGCACAACACCGTTACGAACTGTACCCTGATGTAATCAATGATAACTAGATATTCTATACTTTTAGTATATGATACGATTAACACATATATCAAGCCGTATATTTATTTCATTTTGAACCTGTGGAATGTATATTACAAGACAAGATTTGTTTCCATGAATTTATTGTTCAAGAATGTGTGAATAACATTAATCCCGTCTTTCACTGACTTTGCATTTTTTATTACCCTGGGTTGAACAACAGCATTGAGAAAATGACCAAATTTTTTGTACCCTAAAAATGATGATTTCACAGCAGATCTGCGATCTTTCGAAAAAACCTATTTCATCCGTGGACAAAGCAAGCGTACAACTAACGTTCGTTAATTTAGATGAGAAAGGTCGAATGACAGACGAACTTACGGTGTTGAATGTGTGTGGTGCGTTAAGGAAAGAGGGAAAGGCCGATGGTCTTATTACAGAGAAGTTCTACGATTAAAACTATTTAGTTAAACCGAGCTGTCTTTATGAGTTGTATCTTTTTTTTGTCGATTTTATTTGTTTTCATTGGATACCCTTCGATGGATCAGTTCTGCCCTCAGTGCAAGTCAGACTCTTATTTGAACCCAAACATAAAGATTTACATCAGTCCTTGCTATCATAAGATGTGTGAAAACTGCGTATCAAGGATATTTTCGCAAGGTGAATCTGCGTGTCCCGAATGTGGCACATTATTGCGGCGGATTAATTTTATCTCGCAGACATTTGAAGACATCGATGTTGAGAGAGAATGTAGGATAAGGAAGATGCTCAACAGAGTATTCAACAAAGAAGAAACGGACTTTGATAGTGGAGACGAGTACGACGACTATTTGGAGATGTATGAAGACGTGATACAAGAACTAATGCAACTGAAAAATGACATGCTGGTTACCAAGCGAATTGAGTCCCTCAAAGATGATGCGTTCATTCACAAGAGCGAAATTATAGCGAAGCGACGAAAAGTTCAGGAAAATGTGGACAAGTCCACGAGTACAGCAAAAGACGTGCAAGTGTCTTATGATCCGTTAGAAGATGTTGAGAAACCCACAGTCATGTTAAAAAGAGCGATTGAGCTGCCTGACCGCTACAGATATGAGTGTACCCCAGCAGGTTATTCCAAGCGGATTACAGGCTATCGAGCGGTGTATTCGCTCTTTGATGAAAATATATGAAACTACATCAAGACATGGTTGTATTTCGGGTGTATACCTTTCTATTTTAAAGAATTTTTCGACCATTCGCCTCTTTTACTATGGTATATTCTTTTCTTCTATGAAATTCTGTTATTTACTTTCTAAGCAGGTAATGACCATTCCTTCTATGTTTGTCAAGCTGTGTTATCGCCATTAACAAGCATTTCGTTTTTCTCATTGCACAAAAAACCTTCAATCGGTGATGAAAGAAGGTATAAATGGCAATCTGTCCTGTACATGTTTTTTTGAAAAATGAAATTTTGCTTACACACCGCACAACGTGCATGTGAAGCGCAAATTTGATAAAAAACTGCCTCGCCCTCTTAGCTATGCTCTACATCACGGAAAAAATAGACAAAATATTTTTGTTAAAACTGTCACCTCCTCATATCAATACCAAATGGCATATTCTTCCACAACAACAGTTGTTGAGCGTTTATACGATGCAATTCAACCTATAAAACAATTTTACTCTTAATAATGGTTTTAATAAGTGTATATGTTACATGATATCTCATCTCTTGTGATATTTAACCGGTACACATTTTTTAATAAATCAGCGGAAGCAAAACACAGATATTAAAAAGTAGCTGCCAAACAACTGAACACAAGGTTCTACAGGTAAATCATTAAATCATACTTGAACTATTTTGTAAAACATTAAATTGATGTCTTGAAAAGAAGATGTTGTGCAGAGTGTTAAATAAACGTATTTCTGGCGAAAACAAATGTGATTTATATTAACGTTTTATCTTTTCTTCGATTTGAATCTTAACTATAGAATTTGTAGTTTTTATCTCTGTGCAACACTTAAAACAGATGTGGTAATATTGCTCCCAATTTATTCCTTTATGACAATAAAAATTGATCCATAGCGCATCTGTGTTGACTAAAACGGCATAATCGATTACCGACAAAGTGTATGAGAATAAATAGCATTCAAAGGCTGAGAACGCCATACGATATATATTTCATCATGCGTTAAATAAGTATATAACGATGTGGCATCCATAATAGACGTAGTAAACTGCCAGGGACTTGTGTCTAAAAACAAATAAGTACGTTGAACAATGACATGTGTATTTCATGGTTTTAATACCATCAGTACTCAATCATAGCAAATTTTTACCTATAGACTTTTAGAGGGAGAAATGGGAAGTATGGCCGTTTCGATCCACAAATTACATTTCTATTTGTAGATGCAGAAAAATTTCTCCTATCAGAACACCTCAGACGTATGTAATTAGAAACTCTTAAATAGGGAAATGGATGCGATGGACCAATCACAGTTGGGCACTATGAAACCCTATCAATAAGATGATCTCACGGCGGCAAACTGCCAATAAGCTTGCTTAGCAAAACACAAAATCATTTATCTGCAAAATAACCAAAATTGAAGTTCATTTATCACTTTTTTGTCACAAAATCAACAAATAATTTATTGGGAACTGCGAAATATCAAATAACAATTAAAAAAATGTATAAACCATAAGGAAATGGATGCAAAGCATTCCAATAAAGGTGGTAGTGCTCAGAGGTTCAACAACCAAAATGTAATTGATTCTAAATTCATCACCGTTTTATTTAGAAAGTACAGACAGCTAAACGTGAAAAAAGTGGTAATTCGGGTGGAAAGAGATAAGTTTTTCATCTATCTGCAGGTGTGGAAAAAGGGAACCATGAGGACTATCAGCACAGAGCGGGCGGATAAGATAATTTTGGAAAGGCGGATCGAGTCACTCGCGCTGCATAGGTCTAAGAAGAGGCTGGGCAGGGAGATGAGGTACTCGGATATGAATCCGATCGAGAGGAAAGTGGTTGGTTTGTCGGCAAAAAAATGGAGGATACTGGTGGGTGTTAAGAAACGAAGAGAAGCGGAACATGCCACAAAAGAACGACGGGGAAAACCAAGGCATCGGCTCAAGGCACTTAAGGGACGGTCTGTAGATGTCAAGAACTAATTCTCAGTAATACCACGTATTTAATAAAGGTATGATTTTCAGGATTAATCGGTGTTTTTGTGAATACCTGTAAAACAATGAAAGATCACAGGACACGAGCAGCACACAAACCAATGAGTTTGGAACATACATTGCTTTAATCAATCTTCTTTAGTTTCTTGAATTGGAACGGGTTACGTCTGTAAAATGGCCATGGCGGTACTACAACAACGAATGCTACAAGCACAGTCACAATGCCCGTGAAAAACGTGTACCTCAAATCAGACATGAAGTAGCCGATTATCCATGCAAGACTGTATCCTAAAAGGAGAATGTTATAAGCTGCCTTTTTAGCCAAGTCTTGTCCGTAGTAGTCGATGGGCTGTGTTAAAGTTTTGTACAGGTTTTTAAACATGGGGGTTAGAAATGAAAATTTTTGATATATGAGACTGTGAGTGTTTGTCTGAATATTCACAGTTGCTCACAAAAATTAGTACATGGAAAATGTGCGGAATTGCGTTAGAGCTTCAATACTAGGGTTTACAGAGGATTGTGGATCATTTATCTATCAATAGGGAACGGGAATGAAAAATACATCCCGATAAACATCAGAATGCAGAATATTCGAAGAATGACATTTACTGAAGTAGGTAAAACCACAAAAAAATTTATGTCTCGCTGTATATTTCATCATACGATAGTATAATAGTTTTTACTGAAGTTTCGATGCTTATTATCACCTTTTTTATCCTTCAACTTCCATAGCATATTCCATGAACAACCTGCTACGTTTGATCAGCTCTATGTACCTATTATTTAAAAGGAACTAACACAATAAGATGAGTAAAATGTTTCAATAATGTCGATTATTCAGTTTACACTTGCTCGTGTCATACTTATAATTAACTTATAGCTCTATCTGTCTTAATGAATTAACTCTCAAATTCTCTCTTGTATCACGAAGCCGATGACGTATCGGTGTGCACATCGGTATAGAACAGTTCGTACATAAAATTAAACATCGATATATTAATTCCAGCATTATTTGAGCCGCTATAGTGCATCTGATAACAATTTTGATCTGCATTCGAAGTAAGTACTGATTTGACAATGACAGGCCGTTTTATGCGTCCAATATCCAATGTTATCAATTTGTATGCTAAATTTGCACCGCTTCCTTGAATAGCGAGACATCCGATATATCCTGTGACTGAACTCAATAAATTAAATATAAAACGCCTCTGACGTAAGGATTTATTACATTTGAAAATTTTCGTATGCAAGCTGTGATTTAATATTGATTGATCCGCGTAATTGTATTATACCTGTGGAAGTGCGTAAAATAAGCTTGCTTTATTACAAAACCAAAATTGTGCGTTTCTGAACTATTTTGACCAAATCAAGTGTTTGTATTTGAGTCAATTCTGCTTGCTGAATGAAACGGACAATGATAAATCTTGAATGGGTATTTTGCACACCCCTGATGGTATCCTCAGATAGTTGGTGCTCGGTTAGTTCAGAAAAGGACGAAATATTTGATCAAGAAAAACAGACAAAGATCAGAATTAGCCAAAATAAAATACGCGTTGGGCTGTTTGTCAGACTTTTGAGGATCTTTAAAGCTATCGTAGCTCGATTCGACTACAAGCCGATAGAAACGAACAAGTTTCTAGAATACAAGAGGTTATGTGCATCTGAACCAGATAAAATAACGATCTTCAAGAAGTTGGTGTTCATGGGCATACCCTGTCGGTTGTACTTGATCATAAATGATGATACCGAATTTGTAGTCGAAGCGTTCATGGCTGAAATTATTGAGAATTTCAGGTTAAGCAAGACCGGTCTTATATGCTACATCGGTGTAGATGGTTCGTTCGTTAATACAACGATCCTGAATTCCACCAAGTTCAAGCATTTTGGTATTTTCGATACGTTAATATCAGGAATGAAAGAAGTAATTCGAGAACATCGTTTCTTCCTTGAGGCGAGGCATAGACTTTCAAAAATGGGAGTTGTACTACCTGCTGAGTTTGACGAATCTTTTCTTTTCTCCAAAGTACCGAAATCGTTGAGAAACCTGAAATACCATCCTTTATATACTATCGAGTCAAACATAAGGAAAAATCAAATTATTTTTCCGAAAAGACCAATTTTAGGATACTTTAAGGGAGAACCGATTTTTTACAAAAAAAATGTACAAATTCTGCGAAGCGAAAGAGAATGGTTTAGACTGGGTAAGAGAGCGTCAAGACCAATATATAAGATGGTTAATGGTGTGAAGCTGTATCGCAAGTATGATGTTGAAGACATTGTTATTGAGGATTTGGAAGGTAAACCAATGTTGTACTACCATAATAATCATATACCACGAAACTGTATTTATTCCAAAAATGACTTTTCAGTTTGTGTGGCCAAACTGCTGGATATACGTTTTAGTGAGTGCATTGTTGGATTCAAGTATAAAATGCCTGTATACCAAGGCATTTTCCTGTATAAAAAAGACGCCTCGCTGTTTTTCAATACATTGGAACAGTACAAGTTCAACAAAATGATAGTAGATACCGTTGAGAAAGGTGACAGGATCTACCGCCTATGGGACGACGTAATCAAAAGAGTTAAGAAGTTTAAAAAGCTGAAAAATCTTTTTGCGTAGCTGGTGCGGTATTTTGTACAAAACTACTGTGGGTAAGTTGTTATCATGTAACATGTTAATCAATCGTATGCTTGATCATTTTTGGCTGTATAACTAACGTAAGAGCATAGCCCTTTAGTGTATACGGCATAATCGTCATAACCTTAGATGTTCTTTTTCTTAACAATAAAAATATACAGGTCATATTCTCCCTATGATATTGAATATTACTTTGTCCAGCACTTTACGCGGTTTATAACACAATATCATGAAATGTAAGAGCTGCCATTACCAAAATGTGTATCATTGCTCGTTCCAACCTAATTGCTTTGATTTAATTCTCTGAAACGAAATATCACGTAACGCTTGCTAAATTAATCCATTTATTGCCGTCTATTATTCCAAGTGATGTAAAATTTGTACTACATCATTGTTGTTCTGTAAATATGCAATCTGAAAGCATGGAGTGTTGCTAATTGCGAGTCTTAGATCAGTATTTTTCGGTACGGAGTGTGAATAACACCAGATAGAAGAGATGTTTTACTTAAAACCGTGATAAAAAACTGCTTTCATGTATTCATGAATGGTTGGTTTACATTAACGTCGTTCTATTGATACGCTAAACACGATCACAATGTGACATTCAGATCTAATATGGAATATAATGACCAAAATATGTTCATGAAGTATAAGAAATACCCGTTAATTACGCTCATAGAAGGTAGCCTGGTATATGAGTGGTTATGGGCTGAAGACAGCAATGATGTGTTCAAAAATGGTGATAAACACAACTATCATCAAATATTAGTTTTTTACCATAAATGCCTCCAACAAAAATTGGTGAAAAATGAGATAATAAGATTTTACTTAATGGCACGTATTAACTCCTTTTTTGGCTTGCTACTCACCATTTAATCCGATAAATAATCGTAATCATATTCATTGTCATTCGAACACTCTGATTCAGAAGCATTGATATAATTCATGTAACAGTCACCGAAATATTTCAATGCTTCGCTCTCGAAACCTAGCTCGCACTGCTTCACTAAATCTCTAAACCTAAATATAAGAGCTTGCTCATCGTTAAGCTCCTGAGGTTCTAACGCGATACACTGCGAAACACTGTTTGCCGAACTCTGTGTATTTTGGTCCTGCATTGGTATTTCTGACGTGATAATAGGGCTCTCAACGCTACTTTCCACAAGCGCAGACAATTGGTGGTAGCTGCTTGCACCCATTTGTTCTTGATAACCACTATTCTCACCGAAAAGTTGATTTGGTGAGCAAACGACTGGCGTTAATGGTTGGAGCGTAATTCGGTCAAGATAGTTCTGCTCGTCGAAATAAGTGGCATGACTGTCATCTGAGTCAATCCGTGTCACCCGAGGACAATATTCTTGGTTGAAGTTGTTGCAACTAGAAAAGTTGGAAGAGTCTAACATGGATTGCTCTCCCGAATGCACTTGATGATCCAAGTTATGTTGTTCTGTTGTGCTCGCGGAATAAACGCCAGACATTGAGGAGTTTTGTGCAATATCATGGTAGTGGTTAAGCGGCTCTCCGACATGTGTTGGAGATGTGACAACGGGCACTGCAAAGTGTTCTGTATAGGTAAATACTGGTGACTTGTGGCTTGTTAAATGAGAATATTGACTATCCGTTGCTCCAGGACTAGTGAAAACCGTTGGTGGAGAAATTTGCCCTGTATTTGTACCATGAGGTACCAGCTTTGATGCTGATGGATAAGAATTGTAATTGGTGTTACGATATTGATCGGGAGTAGGTGTAGTTCGTTGATTCTCAGGCGGTGTCTGTCGTTTAGAAGATTCATGGGGTTGACTCGCAGTCATTCGTCGAGACCTCGTCCCCTTTCCAACGGTAGATCTGTGTTGGTTCATATCATGTGTACCATCAGACTGATGGAATGGAGTGCCTTCATCATAATTTGGGTTACTAGGACTGAATACATCAAAAACGTAAAGACTGGAGGGATCGGGGGTAGCACAGTCTAAGTAATTAAAATACTCAGGCATGTCTGACTCGTCATCACACAATCTATTTGATGGTGGATTACTGGGTGAAAAAACCGGAAGTGGAACAGCGAATAAACCAAAAGATCGACTTGACTCACAGGAAAGAACATCTGATGGTGGATCTGATGTTGCGTGATTGCTGTTATGTGACTCATCAGACATGTCACGTGACGGAATTGTGTTCATAGAAGATAGAACCGGTTCACTGCATGGATTGTGGTAATCTGGCGTGCAAGTACTCGGCACTTCTATCGCTTCATTGTATATGGTAGCTACCTGATCAACCCAGCTATCCAGCAACTGATTGAATGGCCTTCCATGTGGATCATTCTTTTCGTGACAGATACCAAGCGGACTATTGTATCCGTGAGCATCGCTGGAAGTATTCGCCGGAGAAAATGGATTACACGATATCGTGTTACTTTCATCATTAAAAACACTGCGTTTGCTAGTTCTTTTCTTTTTTCCTTTTTCTTTTCCATAAGTATTATTCTCGTGCAGCAGTGTTCTACGACTATGCATGTTCAAACCAAATGTCTCTTCCATTCCGGAAGCAGTGTCCACATTGTAATCCATGGATGCGAGTCCTAAGCCGCTATCTTGCGTTAAAAAAGCACCTTGTTGACAGCAACTTGTCTCTTCACACATATTGTGTGGATGGACAGTGCTTCCAAACTGTGAATGATACTCATTTCTCGTGTTTAGTTGGTGCGACGCGAAAGCGGTACCGAAAAACTGAAAGACAATCATGAGTAACGATTTTCCAAGTCTATTTATACTAATACGTCAAAAATATATGCCTAAAAAGTAAATTCTTACTATTATAGTTTCTATGTGTCCAGTTAATTAGTATACACCGGTTCAGTCGACATGTTTAGTAAAACCTTTCGCAAATTATATAAAATTAGCAGATCGAAAACGTAATACAGAGCTCTAGTTCGTCAATAACACACATCCTAAAATATTTCCGAACCAACTTTCAATGGAGTTCTAAAGACAGCTATGACACAAATTCAATTAGCAAACATACTGATTCGTAATTTTCCTTATATGTGAAACAGTTTTTAGCACAATCGAGCAGTAAATGTTGTTTTAAAAATTCAATTGTGGAATAAAAATGTTTGATTCGGTGAATTTGTGATATAAATTTATTGCGGTATGGGAGCAACTGATAACAGCAAACAAATTTAGTCATTGGTGTTGGCGGCACAGTGTGGGAATATCATCATTTATAACCATATTTACTAAACAATTGTCTTGTATACATAAAATACAGCTTCTTTGATTGTACATATTCACTATTTAAAAAACACAAAATGATTTTAAAGAAGTCTTTTGTTGATCAATACTTGATAAATGTATTGAATAAATGGTTTTTGTTGGAAGAAGAGTTATTTTATACGGCATTCAAAGTATATTTGTTAACTTCTTACAAACATGTTATCTTAATTTAATACGATATTACTGCTATCAATCGTAAGCATACTCATATAATCGTTAGATATAGCAACAGCCACGACGTTATATTCAATTTGTAGTGGTGCGGAGTAAAATATGAAAAGCCTGTAACAGATATTTATCAGCTCACACAAGGCTGTAAAGGAAACACAACTGCTAAATTTATTGATACAACTTTTTTTTGAACTCTAGTTGCATGCTAGAGTTCATGATATGGAATTATTAACGTATGAACGATTTGACAGTATGTCAATCATGTCAAATAAAAATTTTGACGTGCAATATATCTAAAAACTGTCAAAAGGTGACTGCTAAGAATATTAGTAAGTTTAGACTGTTTGGCTGTAGAACGTATTTTTTTCGTCAAATATGCTACTATTTTGGAGTTAAAATCCGATAAAAAATTTGGATGAGAAACAGCATGCGTCTTACGAATAAAATATTTCATAAATATTGGTGTTATAACATACATGAGCTGATTTAATGTCAAACTCACCATGCGTGCTGAATTGCTAGAATCATCGTGATATGGTGTTAAATTGTTTTACCATTTAGGATACATTTATGTAACTAGAGACGATAATGTTCCCTAAAATATTTGATGTTGCTTAGGATATACTCATTTAGTACATGTTATAAGCTTGTACAATCTTTACAAGTTGGAAATATAAATTAAATGTGTTATCTGGCTAATAAGCTGATATACAAACATGTTGGATAAATTTTTGATCTATCGATAGGTACTGTGTACGGTACTGGTGTTAAAATAACGAAACCCTTTATGTCAATGACGTATCCTATTTTGGACAATAAAGAAGGATGACTTGTCGTAGTATAGTTTTTATTGATTTGTTTGAGTTTCATTTCATTTCGTGTCTCCTCGTAGGTGATTACAGCTTTTCAAGTGCATTTGGGTTGGCCTAGTGTCTTTTTTACCATAGGCCTTTTTTTCTTAGGTTACCTTGTTCTGAACATCCTAAAATTCTTTAAGTAACCTTTGTTTGTATTGTTCCTAATCGGAGAAGGGAACCTTCCCCGACATTCAAGACTAAACACAGATGCTATTCAAATGAGTAAAATAAAAGTTTAATATATGCACCATTTGAGCCAGCTAGGCACCGCGCATCTGAATGTGTTACGTGACACCCTTCACAGCCATCCTTTTATACTAATGGATATTTTCTTTTTTATTTTATGCTGTGTCAGCCAAATATATTCCATATCGTTAGGAAATTCTATCAAATCCGACTATATCTAAAAAATACCGACCTCAACAAAGTAGGAGCTGCAAAAAATGTTATTTTTGTATCACCAATAACAATAGATAACAAATTGTTATACACATTGAATGAGAAGCTTATGTTTCGAAAGCAAATTAGAAAATCGACAAATATGTTACTTGCTATCGAAGTAAAGGGACTTGTGACACCGAGACAGCTTTTCCGAGCCCTTAAAAAGTGTTTACCAACTGTTTTTGATGAAAAAATCATTAGGAAAATTAATAACGAAGAAAACATCAGAAGAATGTACTTCCATGTTAGACAATCTATAATCAGCATTCTTGGTGTGCATGAGGGCAACAAGATCCTTGAGAAAACATTTGAAGACCGTGAAAAGAACGAAAGCCTGGAATCTAATGCCGAGAGCATGAGTGAAGACATTTTAAGCGATTTTGAAATGATTTAGGTGTAAAATATTATGTCGTGTTTATTAAAGGAGTAGTGTTACAATATTTAAGAGAATGTTTTTGTATGATTCTGGTTGTTGTTTATCTATACGAACGTATTTTGGATTAAGGTATTTAGCGAATGGCATACAGGTCGTCATAAATACATACCAATCCAAAAAGATAATTTTTGAATCTGCTCTATGAACAAAGACCAAAAGCTCGTATTTAACAATAGGTTTTACAAGATAGATAGGATGTACCAATTAGGAGTATGTAAAATTATGTCACACAAGCATTTACGCTAAATAGTGTTTACAAAAAATTACCTCAGTCACAAATTGTGTTTATTAATGCCATATCATTATCATCAACACAAAAAACAATTTGTCTATGATTAATTTTTGAATTTAAAAAAGAAAAATTTTCTATTCTACATTTTTGAACGAAATAATGAATGAGATATTGCAATCTAATTCATCTTCCTATGACATATTCAGCTATGATTTACAAACAATGTTACAATGGCATGAATAGCAGCTCAAATTAACCGTTCAGCTGCTGCTAAAAGGTGCAAAGCAGACAAAAATATCTTGAGACATGACAAAATGGTAACTAGAAAGAAAGTATTCTTCAATAGGTTATCAAAATTTGTTCTGCTTTATAAATGAATCTAGCGTGGCTGTTAATGTAAATAAATGATTGCCTTGTAACAGGTTAGTCATGTAAAACACATCCAAACGATTTTATTTAACTGGTACAACAGTTTTTGCCAAAAACGTATAAAATGCTTTTTAATACTCAGTTTGTTACCAAAAGCCTTTTATTTATCACAGCATACATTTTTGTTGTTATTGTTGTGAGATGAGCGTTGTTTTTAGCCATTGAAGTATTCATGTCCTGCATAATAAAGCCCTATTGACCTTCCCAACAACAATCAAATGCGTTTCATTGAGCTGCTAACATATGTCAAAGCCGACATTACTTTTTCACAGACTACCAAAATGCCTAACAAATTATCTAAAATAGTTATTGTATGCAGTGGCAGAATTACTCTTAATTACTTTCGGTGCAATTTCCTGTAAATGGCCGGCAGTTAACTCATAAACACACTTTTATCACTTAAAATGTTAATATTGCTTACCGTTATATATTTAGCTCACCTGGTGTTACGCATGGTCTCATACTTCTGTTTTTATCCTACAATGAGCAGAGAAATTACCAAAAAAATAGCCCAATTTGCAAGTTCAACGATAAACGGAGGAAAAACTTATGTTTTATTCATATGTGCATTCGTGATAAATTTTCTATTCCATATAAATAGCACATATTATTTTAGTTGATGTATTAAGCTCAGGTGCCAATAAAATTTTACCCGGTATGTTATTCATTTTAACAGTCTAATTGATAGTTTTTTTCTGTTGTACTGAATTGAAATAAATGTGACAACACCGACCTAATAGCGTTCAAATTGATCAAGAGGATATGTACAAATGTCTTTTCAGTATGAAAGAAAAGCTGTGGCCTCAATACTACGTGTATGATCAAAAATAACTGCATTAAATTTTTTGCACAGGGTTCATCTATTGAGAACAAACATTTTCTTCTAGCGCTGGCATATGCACATTGTGTGCACAAAATTTTCATTTCTTGAATTTTCCATCCCCAAAAATGAACTACGGGTTGTTACAGAAGTTACATAAATCCTTGTACAAACAAGAATTTGCGGAAAACGACTTGTTGGAGGCTTATGATGAATTCTTGAATGGGTATGATTTTACATACGCTACAGTGTTTTATAAAATACTAATCATGATGAGAAAAAGGAATATTATGATTACAAAAGTTGATGAAATTCTCAAAGTATACAATTTTATTCTCTTCCCGGTAAAAAAAGTGCCTTAGTGAAATTAAAGATTTATATCGTCAAAATTTGAGATCGGTAACTCTCAAGAATACGTAATTAAATGTAATGCCTAAAGCTAGTTTTTCAACTTCATGTTTGAAGACATTCCCTTCCAAGCGTAATTCTTGCTGCAGCTGATTTTGTTCTAAAATACGCTTCGGTTCATTTGTGTTTCTTAGCAAACGCAAAAAAACGAGTATTTATTCTATCAATCTTTTTTAAAAATACGAATTTCCGATCTGTTAGGACCGGTTATAATTACAGGTCTTTGGTTCATAGATAAAACGCTTGCTTCAACACCGATGGAACAATTGCCATCGAGACACTTTTGGTAACCGCAAAATTTTTCATCATAAAAATTTCCGATCACAAAAGAACCTCTTTTAATACCGGCGCGTTGAAGGTAAGATTTGCAGGAAGTAAATACTTATGCAAAACAAAAAGCCTTAAAGCATACGCTTTTCGGTGATGGACTGTCATGAGCACCAAAAATATTTTCAGTAACAAATTTATAAGTACTTTCTAAAATTTCTTAGCTTTGAGTTTTGCGGGTGGCACTCCCACAGAAAATACATCGCTTTATAAGAACCAAAATTGAGCCCTTGTTATTACAAGCACAGCATGCCGTCAAACTCTAGTTCGAATGAAACCGTAGAGAGGGAGATAAGAAACTTGATCCAGGGCACAGAGCTTGGTAAAAATGAAACGGCCGCTAATACTGCCAATATTGCAGCGAGTAGCATGATTAGCAAAGAAAACCCGAATGCAGGAACGGAGGATATGTGCATCAAGCTGTACTTGAAGAATGGTATGTATACATGTACGAACATTTCCATCATAAAATCGCATGGTAAAGCATTTCCCAAGGCATTGGGTGAACAGCTGATAAGAGAACTATTGTCAACACATGCTGTCGAAGAATATGTTGAGAGAGATGGAAAAGTTGTTTTAAATAGGAAGGGAAGCCCAGGAAACTGGGGATCATTCTCCGACATTATGGTTAGTGACATGCCAATTTCTAAATTTGGTTGCATAGTTCTGACCAAGAATAACGTTGATTTCCGGTTTTATGACAATATGAATAATATGATTAGCAGGGCAGTATATGTTGATGATGATATATTTTCTATGACTTATACAATTATATCAAAGGAAAGCATCAGAGAGGTGATTTATACCAATAGCGAGCTGGAAAGACCGTTAGTCACGATGGGGGTAAAGGCGATACGAGTGAGTGGAAAGGATTTAAATCTGGTCCGATATCTGAACTTAGCAGAGGTAAAAGAAGTTAATTATAGCAATTCTAATCTAAACCTTGATAATAACCTGTATGAAGAATTAAATTTAAATGAAATGCTTAAGCTATTCGATTTTAGGACTACACAGGGCCGAAGATACTTTTCTACAAACATTCGAGGACCATCACGGGATATATGTGAAATACAGCGACGGCAGCAAGTCTTATTTTTCTTCAGAAACAACAACATAAATCGAGAATTTCCTGATTTGCTAAGAATTGTCAAAAAAATTGAAAGAGGAAAAATATCGGTCGGTGAAATAATTGCCTTGTGCCAGGTTTTAGAAAAAAAGGACAGTCTTCTGAGAGACCTTGTAAACACAGCAAAGAAATGTGCTGAACGAAATATTGATATTATCAAGGAAGATATTATCTATCCGCTCCAAATGCTTGATTTCACATTTGCAACAAAAGAGATACGAGAAAAGATAGATTTTGCATCAGAGAAAGTTAAATGCTTCAACGATACGATGAATGAACTGCAGTTAAAGGGAGAAGAAATCATTAAAAGCAAGAAGGACGAAGTACAGAGGATATCGGGCATTCTGAAGAATAATTTTAAGGAGGAAAATTTCTGTATTAAGATACGCAGAGGGGATTACAGCGAAAATATGTTTAGGAAAAACAATTTTTTAGAAAAAAGTGTTCTGAAAAGCGGCGTAATTTTTCAGACACGAACACTTAATAACCTTGAAAGAGAATTTGAGTGTTTGAGAGACCTTGAAAGAAAGGAAGAAAAAATTGTGATAAACAACCTAATCGTATTATTGAAGGACAGTTTGAACTCTTTGAGCGCATTCAACACATTGATAGCACTCGTAGACTACTATTGTGGGCTTAGTGATAAGCTGAATGACGAAGAATGGTGTGTGCCTTGTGTGTATGACGGAGAGAGCAACGAGACAAAGGCAAACTCTCATAGGTTCATGGCACAGGATGCATTCCATCCCCTGGTGAATAACTGCATTAAGAACGATATAAGCGTTAGCTTTACGATATTAACTGGGCCAAACACAGCAGGAAAAAGTACATTTCTTAAAACGATCGCTTTAACTGTGATTCTTGGCCAGATGGGCAGTCTGGTACCGGCAAGGAATGTAAAATTTGAGCTGCGTGACGGGATATACATCAGATCGGGAGCATCTGATAGATATGGTATTTCGACATTCATGAGAGAAATGAAAGACATGGCAAGGATAACAAATATGTGCACACAGAAGAGTTTGATTTTGATCGACGAGCTGGGACGAGGAACATCTTATATAGATGGGATAAGTCTAAGCATAGCAATCAAAGAATACTTACAGACGAAAAATGCCTTAGCCGTGTTTGCAACACACTTCACTGGAAAAAACGAGAAAATGTTCCTTGAGGGGCAGAACATAGAATTACTTTGTTCGGAGGTTGTGGACGGTATTATTACGTATAAAATTAGGAGTGGTATAGCGGATTCTTTGGGCATAGAGGTTGCTAAAAAGGTAGGATTCCCTCAAGAGGTGATTGCTACAGCTGAAAGGTATCTTAATGAATAAAATAATATCAAAGTTCTATCCATGGTATCAGTTAGGGTTTCTTACAACAAATATAAAAGCTTTAAACAACTGGTGTAAGGTTTTTCTAGATTTTGCATCGTTAGTGCGTTATTTGAAACGTAATTTTTTATTCTCGGCTGATAGAGATGAATAATTGGGTTACAATTCCTACATCTGCACAGCAAGACCATGATACTCCCGCAGCACAAGTTTACAGTGCATATAATATTTTTCACTACACAGATTCTAACAGTTTTTCAATTATAGGTGATTTAAAAACCTTTCCTTTGTATTACTGTGTTCGTTTTTTAGCAACTCTGGTTCTATGTTTTCATAAAGTGCACATGCATATCAAGCTATATAATCATGCGGTATCCAAACAGAAAAGCGTGGTTTTGTCCCTTTTCTTGAGATAAATACTTATATCCCGCTTATTTTTATTTTCTATCCGTACTCACATCAATCATGATGTATCGATAAGAATATAAATATTAAAATGTCCCAAAAATATCATACAGCTTCATCATATGTGTTGTGTCATTGAACAAATTGTCGTGATCTCGGTAGCATTTACAGTGGATTGCTCCAATAATTACGTTTTGCTGTAATTTTCGGTTGACCACAATAAATTTTATACACTCTTTATTGCCAGGCCCTTCTCAGCATGGAGTGCATTATTTCTCCAAATAACGCGCTGCTCTTGGACAAATTGTTCTCAGTTCCTATTACAGTTAGATTATCAGCTAATATGGAAGTTATTTACCACACGAACGAAGAGTTACGAAAAATGACCTTGAAGGAGTCATTTTTCGAGCACTATGACTGCAGTTGTGCACGGGTCTTCAGCATACCTAAAACCAATTTTTTTATAAGTCAAATGAGATTTTTGAGATTAGTTCTGAGCGGCGATGTTCTCATTTTTGAATTCACTTTCAAAAATGCTAAACTAGTCAAATACTTGGATATCATGGTGGCGGATAGCATCGAAATAACATCCTCTTCTTTTTATTACGATATTGAGGTGGATTTCACGCTATTTAACAGTGCCATTGATGTTTTTCTACACTACAACCGGGTCGTGCTCAGAGAACGGACAAATATGTGGGAAAGAGAAGTGGAAGGGGAACTAGTGAATGGGTGCAATCTGATGGTGAGGATAGACTCAAAACTGGTAAGGAAAATTAAGTGGTATTCAAAAGTGATGGGAAAGTTTTCGATTGGTGTGGGATATGAGGAACCCGTTAATCTCGTGTTTGCCGGTCACGGTTTTGTATACAGCCTTTTTTACGCTGTGTTCACACAAAAACTGTGACTGAAATGCTGTGGAACAATGCGTATCGGTTTGCTTCGGAATAATATTTACGGGAATTTGACATATCTCGTAAGCAGGACATTAATAATAGTTTTCAGATCGTTCTGGCCGCAATAAATAATTATTTTACTGTTTAAGTGATTCAAAATACAAAAAATTAGTTCAGTGGATCGCGATGAAGCTATCCTTATGCACTCAGCTGTTTTCACTGTTGATTCGCTTGTACTGAGAACATCGAATAGAAAAAATAAAAAAAGGATTTTACAAGAACCTAATACATCAATTTTGACACAGATGAACGAAAATACCCAGCACTCGCGAAATACGGAACTGCTATCCAAAAATGATTGCTACAATAAACGATTTACCTGCCTTTACGCGTCTGCTTCTTGTAAAGAATGAATGCTATGACAGCTATAACCACCAAGAAAAGGAGCCACACCCATTTGCCGCCACCAGTTCGCTTCTCATCCAAATCCTTGAAAACGGGGTACTCGATGGTTGAGTGCCTGATTGCATGTAGCTTAAAATCGCTGTATCCGGTAGAATTATTGACACTAACAGCAAAAAAGCTCTCCGTCCCAAGCTCATAATCGGATATCTTGAAAACATCCTTGAATTTATCGCCTTTACCGAGCGAAACAACAAGCACCTGATCAAACGTGATTCGCAGCGTGAACTGCTCATCAAAAATGTTCTTGGTAAGTTCCTCCGTCCGATTAAAATTGCTAAACGTGCTGTGGTCGCCTACGCTGATCCCGATGTAGGGGACATCATTTTTGGTTACGATCGCTATAAGCAGTCCTTTACCGCCCTTTCGACCAAATACAGGCCCCGTTTCATAAGTAGAGTCTTTTCCAATCCAAAACGCTATTCCATCAGAGCGCGTTCCCTTATTGATCGTTAATCGCACATCGATTCTGAACGATTTGCCGTCAATGGGCGATTTTGTAATTATTCCCGCACGTGAAGGAACACCGTTAAATCCCAGTTTGAGATATGTGGATGCTGAACTGTACGTGGTTGCCACACAGTCGCCAAATAAATCATAGCGGTGGCTTGTTCCATCATCATCAACGGCAGGCATAAACATTGAGGTCTTCTCCTGTATTCTAAAGATCTTTTTTTTGAACGACAGCACGGGAAAAATGTAGAGAAGAATTCCAACAAGCATTTTCAGGGGTACAAATTTTGTATTTTTTATGCGATTTATTAAACGCCATAGATTTTCTGTGAAAGAAATTATAGATTAGCCAGGGTACTGCTGAAGACGCCCCATCAAAAACTTGTATTTGAATGGACAGGTCTAACATGATGAGTAATTTGAGCGCATAAATTTAATCAAAATAAAAGGGATGTACACCGATAATTGGATAAGTGAACAGGGTATAATGTATTTAACTTGTAAGTTGCTTATTTTTGGTTGATTCTATAAATTAACGGTCAAAAGGACCTAATAATGTGGAATAAACGGCCAAGTAAACGTCAGAATATTCCATCTAAGCGTTTTTTAGTGTTCATCACAGTAATTTAGCGCTTCTGACCTTTTAGCATTCACAACTCCTCACTAAACACATGGGTTCGTATAATTTACATTACATTTACCTTAACTAGTTCATCCGCTACTATACACACAACACCCGTACAGACCAGCGAGGATGCATATAGTCTGTAATTTTTATTCGTTTTTACGCATCGTAATTTATTTCCACTTCACTACTAAACATGTGTCGATCAAATATGTCATCTACGCGAAAGGATCGAACCCTTTGACCAAAGCTGCATGTGGGTCAGATCGCTCAATTTTGCATGACATATTTTCATCCTATGGGAATAGTCAACAGATAATACAAAATACACAACCTGTAATCGACATATATTATTTGTTAATTGTGTGAGAACATCTTTTTGGCAACAAATATAGGTAAATATTGTTACTTTAAATGATTGTCACTCTAACATATTCAAATAAGTAAACGAACAACATGGCAGTATAATTCGATGCCATGCTTGAGCATGCAGATATGTCTTTCGGCACATTAAAATTTCCTTCCTTGTGCTGAAAATTTTAAAGATCAAAGAAATGGCAAAACAAAGAATAAATACAGCAAGGATAGGCCAATAAACTATAATTGCGTCTAGCATACATACTTCATTAGAAGATTATTTTGTTCGGTATTGACATGTAAATACGACATTTTTAGCTATCTGAATTCTCCAGAACCACCAAATTAGCCACACATAATAAAAGTTTATCAAATCCTACTTATCTAAACGTTAGAACTAGGTATAGAAAACGTAGAAATGCACACATAGCACACAATTGCAAAATACACCCCGAAATGACTGCCATGGCCTATTAAACTTACCACGCTACCAAGATATAATACAATTAACAATTCACAGTTTATTTCCGATGCAACAGACGGGCAATGTGAGCGAACTCTTCGGTTGTTGACGATTTTCCTACCAAAAACCCATCTAAACATTTAATACCGCACAAATTTTCAACATTTTTGCTACTAACCGAACCACCATAAACCACTCGTCCACTTACATGATAGTTCATCATTTCCGTTCTGATAAAACCTATGACTTCCTCAATTTCCTCATTCTCTGGCACATTTCCAGTCCCTATCGACCAAACAGGCTCGTAGGCAACATCAATACAGGAGATTCTATGGTCAACCATGCACTCAAGAACGCTCTTCAACTGTCTTTCTATCACTGGTATCGTTTTATTCTCCTTTCTCTGCTTCTCATCTTCTCCAACACATAAAAGTACGCTCATTCCCTTTTTGAAAGCGTTCATAACCTTATTGCATACGCTTTTTTCATCATCAAAAAGCTTTCTCCGTTCTGAATGTCCTATTATTACGTTGTTTATACCTATATCAACCAACATATCTGCACTCACTTCACCCGTATAGGCGCCACTTACAAATTCAGAGCAATCCTGGGCCGATATCTTCACGTATGATGGAAATATTTCTCTGGCAAGCGATAAATACGGAAATGGAACAGCATAAAGTGTTTCAACATCGTTATATTCACCATCTAACAGTGTTGAAAGATGTTCTAGCAACTGTTTGCTACAGCAAAGCTTTAAATTCCCGCCTAGCAGTTTTTTCATTAGGGTGTTCGACACTCGTTTTGTATTTATTTGCTCCTGATCAATCCAAGGCTGGAGCCGCAGAAACTTCATTTAAATATTGATAAATTAACTATACCAGCTGACAAGCTTCAAGGTAGCAAATAGTGCGTAATGTTTTATTGATTCATTCCTTACGAATGGATCGATAGTGGAGGCAAGAATCGGTATGCTAATTTTTCTTTATAACCCGCTTTGATGGAGTTTAGGGATGCAATAATATAAACAAAAAACTACAAATAACAGGACAAAAATATGTAGCACGAAAATATCTGCTAATCTGCGACTGCCGGTGCATCTGACGCGTCTGCGATCCATTTGTTGATCAAATTATGATTGGATTGTAGCATAGTACATCTCACCAGCAGATAACGCAAACACCAAAAGTTTTAAACATCCACATCCATTCCAAACGCAGGAGAATTTGATACGTCTATCGCACTCAACATACAATTTATGTTACAGAACTACACTAAGATACATATCAGCATGATCTCGAGATTTAAAATCCCATTAGAAATAAGTACCAGCGGATAGAATGGCAATTTTTACCAGTATTAGCATCTTCCAGTAATACAAAACCAAACCTATAATCTAATAGTAAACATTGGAAGGAATAATTTTAATCGCATCAAATGAAATCCATGAACTCCTAGAATTATCAGGACCGATGCTATTTTCCAATCAAAAATGTATACATATTAGCTGTCTTCCATATTTCCTTCTCATATTCCTATTTTAACACAAATTTAATTTCAAAATTGAAACACATTTATTTACCCCTGGTTAAACAAACCTCAATGTCAACGTTCGCTATTTATCCATGCCATATGAACGCTGCGCTTTCGCACAAACACGGTAGAAAATACAACAAAAAGTTGTGTACATCTAATCCTACCATACAAGAGATGGAAAAAGCTGCTGCTGCTCTGGGGCTACAGTTTACGCTTGAGGATAAAAAAACTCATCCAAAAACTCCGTTAGATCCTGGACGGATCAGGTTCAGCAAGGAATACGGCAGACTGACGGTTATACGGGGATTGAAGCAGGAGATAGAAGAGCTGAGGATCGTGAAAGTGGAGAAAGAGATCGCCAAAAAAGAAAACGTAAAGGCTAAAATAGGCACTACAGTTTTCATGCCACGAACTAAGAAGAAGAAAGACGAGAAAAAAAGTAAAAAAAATAAATAAATTTAATTGATGAAGAAAATGTTGTGATGAGAGAATATAAATAAACAGCTTTTTAACGAAAGAATTGAGTGGGAGGAATAAGCTTGCATTCTCATGTGGTCGTAGTGAGTACGGAATAAGCCGTTAGTTTTCAACCGAGAAGCACAAAGCGATTCGTGCTTATTGTTTATTCTTTTGCGAAATATTTTTCACTAAAAATCGTCCATTTATTACCTCATGCACCACGGCATTTTAATAAACACGTTTCTTTGGTCCGTTGTAGCCGACCATAACCATTGGCCCTTGGTTTGTAGGAAATTTTGTGTGCTAACCCGCATAACAACCTAGTATGCACTCTTGACACGTAATAGAAAAACGTGTTGTGATCACAGAGATGGCTTTAGTCGTAGGACGTGGTCTACATGACATCTTATTGGAAGCGTCTTGAGAAACACTTCATCTTGATTCTTCAGGAATAATTGGCTTCTGGCAGTTTACATTTGATCGATAAAATATTTTGATATCCAGTTCATTTGCGGCGCGTCCAGAGAATTGGCAAGACGTATGTTGGTTTAGATTCGGTCGTGTGACATGGCATGTATGGCAGAGTATTGATGCCGACCGGTTAGACAAACTTATATAGGAAAAAATCAACTTTTGCAATAATAAATAGTTCAGAGTCAACATAACGAGCGAGACAGTAGATTCGATTATTATTGTTACTTAAAGGAGCGATTTTGTTTAATACTGAGATAAAAAACAATAATTTTGACATCCAATCATTTTTTGCGAAAACCGATTTCTTGCTATTATTACCCGCATCTTACATCCATAACTCATTAAGAGGATTAAGTACTATGAAATTGGAAGAATTTTCGTTCTCAGAATTGCATCTCAAATAGAATTAATAAAACTCAACGGAGGACAATATGAACGCCGATACACACATCGTTAACTTTTTAGCATACTGCAATCATTGACTACAAGATTGATACGCCGCAACATTGAACGTGGAAATCTTGAATAAAAGTTTTAATTGATCAAACTAAGATAGGGATTGAGCTTCTCAATTTCTTTCACGTTCTTCACCAGCTTAGGCTTATCAATCAGGCAAGGCTCATCGATAAACGCCTGTACCTCACAGGAGTGGAAAATCCTCTCAATGTCATCACCAGATGCGATTCCCTCGGTGAGGAGAAATCCGGCCTTAAGATTTGCCTCGTTCTCTAAATCACCGAACAAATCATGAAGCTTAACAAATGCGTCTTTCATCCAAATCACAAGCCTTCCTGGCTGACCTCCTGGGCACAGTTCAAGAACATTGAGATCATCAACCCGGCACATATCAACTCCCTGAACATTTCTGAACGCCTTAGTACAGATCTCTTTGTCATAAACAATCAAAGGACCCTTTTTCACTTTGTATCTCCTGTTCCTCATTTTTCCCTTGCCTGATTTTATAAAAACTTCTTTTGTCTTGTCCATTTCCTCGGTTAATCCTAGTTCAACAAGAAATTTGACAGCATCCTTCGTTTTTTTAACATCCTGAAGCATTTCATTGTCAACAACCAGCGGAATACTTTTCAATCCAGAAATACGGTGACCTCTACTCTCGACAATAGGAGCTACTGCACTGGCAGATATCCCCATGGCCGTAACCAGTCTCCTCATGTTGAGGGGCGTTTTTCTCTGCCATCTTCTCCTTACATTGGTAGGATGTGCCATATGCCCACCTCGACAGAAATTTGCAAACGCACCCTGACCTGCGCGTCTAGTACCTGACCCCTTGATACGCGCTACACGAGCCACCGCTCGCCCGGTTCCCCATCCTTCCGCTGAATAGTTTTTACCAGCATTCGGATTTACTGCATAGGGCTGTCTCTTGTTCAGTGCAACGTTTTTGTGAACAAATGAAATCAGGTCTGATCTTACTGGTGTCCTGAAAACTGGCGGTAAATCCACCACAGAAGATGTGGATGACTTGCTGATTATCTCGATTTTTTTCTGCATGACGAATTTGTGAGGGTAAAAATTTTTAAAAATTTTATTCTTCGATTTTTTCGGTTCGTTTGTTCCATACGTTAATCAGTTTCCGAATAGTTGTCTAAAAGAAGCTTTTCACAGTGTACCACATCGAAAACACATATTTAAGGATATATTATGGCGTAGTACCAAGTTATTCATGACTTCTTCATTGTATTGCAAGTGGATCAGGAACTTTGGTGTATGAGGAATCAAATAAAAATCACTTAACTGACAAAGACAGATCTATAAGTAGATAATGCTCGGAACTATCTTATATATGTACGTAGATGGGATATCTTTAGAAGTATTATTTTTTACTATTTTCGTTCCTTTCTCGGTTGGACATTTTGCCCAAACAAATTTTATATTCTTCTTCTAGCTCTTCAAACGCCTTTTTTTCCATCATTTCCCTTTGTTGTTCATTTTCCGACGATGCACTTCCGTCCGAATCATAAATTGGCAAGTTTTTTTCGCCTTCCAGGCACATCTTGTTCACAGAAGGGTTAATTCAATATTTGCGTATACGGTGCCGTTTTAACGCTTCATTAAAGCTGCACTTTACCTCACAATTTCATCAAGAACTATCGAAATTTTCAGCAACCACACTAGCGATTCGAGAGCAAGAAATTTAATATTAACCACTAAGCAATCACATTCATGTTCTATAAACGCTCACATAATATAACACAGAAATTTGTTGTGGCATATTCTAATCTTAAGCTGTTATATGTATTTAAAACAGATTTGTTGCCCCTCGGAAATGGATGATATGTTCAAGAAGGTAAAAACCAAGAAGCCGCCCTCAACATTTTTTTATAGCAAGAAGGTGGGTCATCTCCTGACGCAAGCAAATGAGTGCTTTGTTCAAGACGATTTTGAAAAAGCCATCAAGAAACTAAAAGCTGCTATTAAAATAGCGCCTACATGCCATCAGGCATATTATTTGTTGGGATTAATACATGAAGAAAAATCAGAGTTTCTGGAGGCTTATGAATTGTTTAAAATGTGTTTCAACATTAAGAAAAAAGACCCGAACTTGTTAAGCAAGTTGTATGATTATAGCAAATTTCTTGATAAAAAGGAGGACTGTTTGCAATTTATCGAAAAAATGAACGATGATAAACTTTATGAGGAGAAACTGAACCTTTGTAGGTTACTGAATCAGGAGGATCGAGCACATGAGGCGATTATAAACCATGAAAGAGATTTTACATTCGAATTTTTGAAGAGTCTGAGCACTAAAAATTTGAAAAAGGCTGTGCAAAAATCTATAGATAAAATTATTGATGAGTACGTAACAGGTTGTGTGGAGGAACCTCATAATGAGGCACAGAGACAAATAGAAAACGGTAAGTTTGATTATATAATTGATACATTGTATAAGGATCATTCGTACGATACAATTTATCAGATCTATAAGAAATATAGTAGCACTTTTCTCAGCACCAAGAATAAGTTAATTTTCACGATTAGCAGGATAAAGACAAACAACTACTTATGTGCTGAAATTTGGACTGAAAACGAGGAGTTTGAATACGATGATATGTACAGAGACTTGTTTTTTGAACTAGGTGAACTTAAAAACGATGTGCTTGTATTTTTGAGCGATAGAGGAACAGTAGATGTGAGAAAAGAAGCTTTGAAACGGTTAGCAGACAAAAGTGAACGATGTCAGACAAAGCATACTGACGAGCATAAATGTAACTTGTTCTATTATTTGAAATACTTTGATCTGGACCCCGATGATAGCCATATTCGAATGCTTATCTACTCAATATATAAAGAACAGGGAAATAGTGATGAAGCATTTAAATACTCGGAGTTAAGCTCAACTTCGCACAGCTATGAAACTACAGTTCAATTTTTTAAAAGTGTTAATGACAAGAAAGTGATCAGATATACGAGTAAAGAGTGCAATGAAATTCGCAGAATATATCATGAGACACTGGAACTGCGTAGAAGGTTTCAAGAGCTTAATGAAAAGGAATTAGACAATTTTTTGAAAATCAATAATCTGCTGTTGCATGATTTCTTCAATAACCTATTTATTTTTAACCCGAGCTGTCAGCGACTGAACAGTTTTTTTACGAGAAGCGACAGACAGGAGGACTTTGACGAAGTTGTTTTCCAAAGCTTACATGGATTGTATGCCGAAGAGTGGTATGAGGTTATCAAGGGTAATTTCCTATATACTGTGAGCAACGGAACAGAAGAGCCGTTTTCTATTCTATATAAGTCTTTAGATGCCACAATATTTAAAAACACCAGCTTTTATTTCGACATAATATTTATTCTGATCAAATTTTCAACCATTTTTGGTAATGTGAAGTTTTTAACTAAGGCTATCAAAAAATTTCATGTTAAGAACCATACTGCGTTTAATCTCTATCACTTTTTACTGAATTTTTTTGTTGACTATTGCAATTCAGATTCTTTCAGAACAGCTTATAACAATTTGAGACGAATTTATCTGCGCCATGTTGACAAAAACATCAAGCTCTATGATGATTTTACTTTTCTTTCTTCAAACTTACCGCTCTTTCTGTACACCGAGACACTGGACAGAATCGATCAAGTCTATGGTAATGTAGAATTAAGCGATGTCAACACTGTTTTATTAGCGATAATATATTTCAATAATTCAAAGAGTAGACGTATCAGCAATAGGAACTACTATATTGAAAAGGGATTTTCGCTGCTAAAGAGAGCTCTTGATCACAATTGTTCAGAGGAGGGTCTTATAATGTATAATTTAGGAAGAGCATACCACCATTTCGGTCTTCATGGTCTGGCAGAGACTTGTTACAAAAAATGTTTGGACACCAAGTTCAAAAGACTAGCAGCATTTAATCTCATACTAATATACAAGTCAAGCCATTCGAATGATATGCTTCGACACTTTATATCAACTCTAGACTTTTAATCGCACAATTACACTGTGCTTGATATTTCGATATAATTATAAGCGTACAATTTCTATATTTACCTGCAACACTAACATTTCTCATCCTATCTTTACGACCAATCACATACGTTTTGTTTTGGGTGCTTATAAGTGTTATTTGCATTTAAAGATAGTATAACAACCTATTGTCCGCTTAGGAATCAAAAATCGTACATAAATATAGTATCAAGAATTGTCCCGCATCTTTATTGTCTTAAACAACGAAAACACATGCAATATTTTACTCATTAGGTGTTGTATTTATTTATAGGTCGATCATATGTTGTATGCGCTGTGTTTCAGTTTAGAATTTGAATACTCGCTCGATTTTATCATGTTAGTATATTTGATCGAATGAGAATACATATGTTCCTGTTTGCATGGTTAGACCACTATTCTATCATTAAAAACGGTTTCAAATAATTTTTGTAGTTCCTAAATTCATAATTAAATGAAATGGATATGTTTCTTATTTGCACAACTCATTGATTAGTAATGTTGCTCAATGTGTTGGATTAATATACCACTTTTAAAAATTTAATTTATTGGATTAATTTTATTATTGCTTGTACTTTAAACTGTTCTATTTCTACTTCAAAAAAAAAGTAATTTTTAAAAAATTCTAAAGATTGTATTTTTATTTTACTAAAAATACCTTTTTTTGTCTTCTCATATCACAAAATCCAAGTAAACACATTTTTCTGTTACTCTTG